TTTTAATCACTGTACTAAACAAACCCTAAGAAACATACCGTACTTTGCAAAAACGAAACAATTAGACACCACTAATCCAAACGGGACGTATATTTTCAGGATAAGGCTGTCGTTTTTCCTCCTATTTTTCCAGAAATTCATGTCGTTTTGGTAGGTAGGGGCGGCATATCTCACGAACAAAACTGTTCTTTGTCAATAAGCTCGGCGAAAGTTAAGCTTGTGTTTGGATAAAAAGCTAATGATATAGCGATTGAAACAGAAAGCTTTTATTTTTATTTTTTATTTATATTTGTAGCTGTCAATTCTGAGAGCAACCATTCCTCATAACCCGATTATTTCGGAATCTGCTTAATAAAAGAGTTGCTCTATTCTCTTCGGTAATAATTAAAAAGTTGTTTGATGTTAATGGTCTTGTATGTCTAGGGTTTTTCAAACTGTACGTTTATTATTTTTTTTTTAACATTGAAAATTTTTGAGTATAAAAAATTTTTCAAACAGTTAGTGGGAATAAAAATTTTAATTAATTAAATTTAAATATTAAAATTAGACAACAAATTAGCAAGATGGAAAGCTTGATTCAATAAATATATTTTTTATTATAAATTTATATTAAAAATAAAATTAATTTTTAATTAATTAAATTTGTTTATTTAATATTAATATCAAAAATAATGTTTTTTTTTTTTTATGATAAAAAAATATTCTTAAAAATATAAATTCAAAAAACCCGTATAACTAACATGTCCTGCCAAGTGAAAAAAACTAATCATTATTATTTCTACCATGAATTTCAAATTCTATTGCAAAAGAAGATGATTGGCAAACCATTAACTTTTCATTCAGATGTTCTTAATTTTTTTAATAACGACCACTGTACCTTTTCTTACAAATTTTGAACTGTCACGAATGACTTCAAAATTGACGCTTGAGAAGAAAGAAAATTAAAACGGGTTGACTACTAATAATACGGATTAGAAAATACTTAATTATTATTATTAAATAAATTTATACATATAATTTTATGGATTTAAAAACATAAAAAAAAATTAATTATTAAGTAATATAAAATTTTTTAAATATTTTAAATAATATAATTTATATCATATTATTACTCTTAAAATTTAAACTCAAAATTTTCATTCAATCTATCGTTATTTAAGTAATACGAAAACCGCGTTACAAAAGAGGTGAAAGGGGCAGGAATGGATGGCTAAATTGTTTTTTAGACATTACAAGGAAAAAGTGGCCCTTGATCAGCCCCCATCAGAGGGTCCACTCTGTCTCAAGTTCTGCCAACATTTGGAATAAATATTATTGTGGGGGAAGGCGGAAATTCTCATATAATTTGCAAATTGCAAATTGCAATTAAGTTTACAAGATGCGGTAGAGACATCGGAAACGTAAGAAAAGCCGGAAGAGCTGGCTTTCAAATAAAAGTCATCCAACTCATGAGGAGTAGGGGTCGGTTCTCAAAATTGTAAGCCAGCTCTCTTCGAGTAAGGAGGGTCACAAATGTTAACTTCATCCTCGGATTTCCTTTCCATTGCATTTATAAAGATTAGTTTTAACATTGAATATGACCAAATTCAAAACTCCAAAATTTATTCCATTGGAAAGAAAGATGAAGTCTTTAATCATATCCAATAAGAAGTATTTTAAACTTTTTTTAATTCTCTTGATATCAATAAAACTTTCAATTCAATAAATATATTGTCTTCGTAGTTCACACAGGTAACAAGCTATAGGTGGAAATGATATTTTGAAAATATCTATGCAGCATGTGAGGTCAAGAGAAAGCAAACAAATTGCGTGGCCTTTTGATAGAGGTAACCTTCTCGTGGAGAAAAGGGCAGCAGTCTAAACTCCCAAAGACAAAGGAAAGTAAGAGGGATTGTGACAATCACTTCTCTTATTTACTTTTGAGCAAAAATACAATTGGGTCTTATTCACTTGTGGTGATATGTAGCACTTTGTGGCAATCAAACCACCACACAAAAGGATCATTGGAATTGACATCATATCTTGGGTACTAGCTGGTTACTAGTACTCTATCAAATTAGTACACTGTATTACACAAAACCAATCCCCAAAAAATATCCTCTCCTCATCTTTAATTATTTGTTTTAGGCATTGCATCAAAAAAACAATGTTTCCTTAATATTGTTTGAAACATTTTTAGATACCAAATTTAGCTTTTGAAAGATCATTTAAAATGAAAATGCACTCTAAACTTTCAAGAGATGAATTTTATTGAATATGATTAGAACACATTTTAAAAAAATTTGCTACGTACTAAAACAGTGTTTCTACATATATTTGTACGAAATGTTTGGATTGTAAAAGTTAAACGAAAAAGTCATTTTCTCGGAAGGAGATAAGATGTGTCTGGTTATCCAATACTAAAAATACATGTCGTTCAAGGCAATTTCCTTGTATTCTTATGGGGTTTGATCCACCAAAGTCCAAGAGTTGAAAAGGGTATGTTTTGCTTTTGTGGGTGATGTTGTAAAAAAGGAAGATGTGGATGTCTATCATGGACGGTAGGTTAGATAGGAACGAACCAAAATGGGGTTGGGATGTTGACAGGGCAATTTGGCACAGCTAGGGTTAGGGATGCTTCCTTCACCTAAGGATGTGACCTGTCTCTCACTCGTCACCATGCCCTCAAAAAGCCTTAGAATGGGTGATGTTATTTGCCGGTGATGATATATGTGTGTGCTCGTGTGTCCAAGGGAAAGTTTACCAAATGCACACACACACACAAACTGTAATGAGCATGCCATCCATCCATATCAATATTGTTTTTGGCAATGTTTTTGGCCTTTCCATTGCATGCATCCCAATGCCAAGTTCTTTCGTTTGAATCTATTGCATTTGTTTTATAACATATAGGTACTAGCTCTTTGGCTCCGCGTTTAAACGAGAAGTATAATTTCACATTAATATGTTAGAACCAAGTTTTAGTTCCATTTATTGTTAGTTTTTTTTTTTTTTAACATAGGAAAATTTTGAAAAATAAAGGATTTGTTTTTTTCAAATTATTACAAAAATTAAATTTTCGATCAACTAAATCAAAATACTAAAATTTAAAACGAACCATTAAATCTAACACTCCCATTCATATAGAGTATCTACTTATCCTTGTCTAGTGAATTAATTGACATGTACTTTCATTACAATTATAAATTGTACTTTATGGTTGAAAATTGAAAAGAGAAGACGGCCAAAAAAAAAACAAAAAAAAAGGAAAAAGATGAAAAGAGAAAAGGGGTATTTTTTTTTCTAGCATAGAGAAAAAAAGCTCAAGCCTTTTTCCTTTTCCTTGGGTTCTTTAAGATCAATAATTATTTCAACTTCATTATTAGAGAAAATTAATCATCAACAAAAAGAAAAAGAAAAAAAAAAGGTCCTAAGTAGTTTGTGTATCTGCAACCCACCTCACGGCTTTATGGTGATTAGATATATTAAGAAAATGGGGGATTACATGGGATGAATTATTGATTCATGTGGATATTTCCATCATTGGTAAGGTTCTTCGAAGAATCTTTGCATAAACTATCAATATTTTTTAGTTCAATGTATAATCATATCATCCTTTCCAACACTCAGCTGATCCCATTAAATTCATTGAAAAGAAGCCCTTGCTTGTTGAAGGAAGAAAACCGTTTTTTTTTTCTTTGGGTAAATAATTCCCTTTTTTTTTTTTATAAAAACCCAAATGGTTAATTTTTTATTTATTTACAAGTTAGGTGTTTTAAAGTAGTTTTCATATACTTTGAAATTAATTTTGTTTTAAATAATTTTAAAGATACACCTATCACATTAGCTTGGTACATTTAGGAAATCTTAAGATTTAAAGTTTAAATCTGTTATCCCAAAAAAAATATCCTTGACACGTGCCAGATGAAATGGCGTGCCACTTGTTTTGCTCAAAACAAGAAAGATTTTTCCGACGACCCTCTCTTCTTTCCAAGCGTGGAACTCAGCTTGTGAGTTGATGGAAGAACGTCGTGAATTGCACCTTAAATATCAGACGATTGTTAGAAACGAGGGATGAACTTCCTGCACTAAATGGGTTATAGACAAAATGCCTTGGGTATGATTCCAAGGACTTCTCAAAGCTAATGGAATCAAGAAAAGTTAAGACTGCTAGGTAAATAAATGATCGCTAAACTACTGAAAATCTAAATGAACTTTAAATACGCAAACTGAATTGAAACAGAGTTTTAAAAGGAAATTTAATTGCAGCAAAAGTAAATTAAATTAAAGTAAATAAAACCCAAAGCATGAAAAATCTATTGGCAGCATGAAATGTAAATTAATAGAAATGGAACTGAACATGAAATTAAATGTCAACATCATTTGATTAAATTAAAGGAAATTTGGAAAACAAATATAAAGGAAAGGAAGCAATCCGATTACAAAAAAAATATTACTGAAGGCAGTGAAACTCACCATTACAAATTCGACAAAAGAAGAACCGAATTGCTAAACTAATCTAGGTTGAAGCGTAGAGCTAAAATTCAATTGAAAGGCTTGAAACTAAGATGAATCTGAGCATAAAGAGAAATTGTGCTGAGTTTGTTGTGTGAGATGTCGACCCTTTGCTTGATCTTATCATTAGGTATTTATAGCACATTGGCAGCATGGTGGAGATCTGCGGCAGCATCCTGAAAAACCAACGGCAGCGTAATATCTGCAACAAATTGATTAATTTGTTGGTGCTGCGATTATCCTCCTAGAAGCTCGCAACAAGAGAACGGTTTTGCTGCCGTTATGAAAATAACCACTCAATCCCATCTGAAGGAAATTCACACCAACTTTCAACTAATAAAATATTTGCCATTATGGGTGACACATGGCAGTACTCCATTTGTTGTAAAATTAGGTGTAAACAAAATCTAATTCATAAGACAATACTTATTAATAAATCAAACAGTTGAGATTCCAAATGGTTAATTGCATAGAGAAATAACAATTTGATTCGTAAAAGAGGAAAATTTCTCCTTTTTTATTCCATTTGTTAAACTATAAAATAATGAGAGGTAATTAAAATTCTTTTAGTATTTTTCCTTTTTCTCTATTCATATCTAATTTTGTTATCACAAAAGCAAAAGGTGAACAATTAATATAAGAATTCAGCTCTATCATAGAGATATACCTTTGATTCCATTAATAGTCATATTTTGATTACATAAAAAATGAAAGAATTGATATATATGCATAAAAATTCATTTATATACAAATTTTATATATTTTATTTATATAAAATCTTAATTATTTATTCTTTATTTTTAATAATTAAGATTATGCATATTTATTAAAAATAATTATTTTTTACTTTAAAAAATTATAATAAATACTAACTATTAAAAATAAATATATATAAATAAAATTTATATATAAATAAATTTCTACACTAAATAAATTAGCTACTCAACAGTAGCATCATTGTAAGACTTAACCATCTTCAAGTGTCTAGCATGTGACAGACACATAGTTGACCAACTCCCCCAATCCAAGTATCTAATCACGTTCATTGTTCAATCCAGTCCATCACCAAACTTACACCACGATCTGACGTCCCCCAACCCTCCACGCGTCGCCAAACCATAGATCACAACACTAGCGGGACACACACACATGCATCTAATCCCTATTCACACAACACAAACCCCACTCTTGTATTATTGACCCTTCCTCCCTCACCTCTTAAATATACATAGAGCCAAACAAAGTAGTAGAGGCATAAGCTATTCATCAACACACCAAAAAAGAGAGACGGAAGTTGCCCGGAAAATGACGACCGTGATGGGCGGCAAGCGTGACTTGAACTTGAAAGCCACTGAGCTATGTCTGGGACTGCCAGGAGGAGGAGGAGGAGGTGGTGGTGGTGGAGGAGGCGGTGGGAATGAGGTGGAGACTCCCAAGGCCACTGGGAAGAGAGGGTTCTCTGAGACAGTTGACTTGAAGTTAAATCTTCACCCCAAGGAGGCTGTCATGGTTCTGAATGAGAACATGAACACTGCTTCTAAGGAGAAGAATCTCCTTCCCTCCTGCACTAAAGATCCTGCAAAACCACCTGCCAAGTAATGTTTCCTTGTTTTCTTTTGCTTTCCTTTCATCCAGTTCAGAAATTAGTTAAAAACCGTTAGAGTTCATCGAGAAAATATGGGCTAAAGAAGGAAAATATAGTCATAAAGGATACGTGAACCAAAGAATTTAGACTCTTGGGTTTGAGGCAGTGTCTAACACTGTATATATTTGATTTAAGGTTCTTACTTTGTTGTTGTTCGGGATTTCAGGGCTCAGGTTGTGGGTTGGCCGCCAGTTCGATCTTACAGAAAGAACTTGATGGCTCAGAAAAACAGCAAGGAGGAGAGCGAGAAGGTGAGCGGTGGCAGCAGTGGCAACACCGCAGCGTTTGTGAAGGTTTGCATGGATGGTGCACCATACCTTCGTAAGGTGGATTTGAAGATGTACAAGAGCTACCAAGAGCTGTCTGATGCCTTGGCCAAGATGTTCAGCTCCTTCACCATGGGTAAGGATCCCCAATTATTGCATGTCTTTGAAATGAATATAACTTCAATAATTGCATTTCACATACAAGGAAAATAACATTAATCATACACATATAGACACAGAGTAATTATTTGATACAAGATCTAACCCTTGGTAAATGCTTGAAGGATATAATCAGTAACAATTTAACCCACATGCATTTGTACGTTGTACTTAATTGGATTTTTTAAAACCAAACGTCAAATCTTCGTCGTATATTTGGGATTCAAGACATAAAGAACTACTTCTTGCCAAGAGAGAGAGAGAGAGAGAGAGAGAGAGAGATAAAAGAACTACTATTACAACTTGTAGAAAATTCAGAAAAATATGCAACATGACTAAACATTAGGCAATTTAATTTATTTCCTCTAGAGGATATAAACATGTTAAAAGGAAAAAATTAAGGTCGAAAAATGATTGAATGTTTTCTCTAGGCGGTGTTCTCATGAATATTGTCATTTTTGTTATTTTTTCTTTTAGGTTTTTTTGATGAAAATATTTGTTATTATATGTTAAATGAAGGCAATTATGGAGCTCAAGGAATGATAGACTTTATGAATGAGAGTAAGTTGATGGACCTGCTCAACAGTTCTGATTATGTGCCAACCTATGAAGACAAGGACGGTGACTGGATGCTCGTCGGCGATGTTCCATGGGAGTAAGTTCCCTCAACCCATTCACTAAGAAAGGAATATATAATTCAAAGAAAAAAAAGCCCTAAATAATTCAAAATCTAGAGCATATATAATCACTTTATTACTAATTCAAAATTACAATATATACAGTAAAAATTTCACTATTCATAATCCTTTGCTTTATATTTAATGTTGCTGCAGGATGTTTGTTGATTCATGCAAACGCCTTCGCATAATGAAAGGATCTGAAGCAATTGGACTTGGTATGTTTTTTCTATTCATTCTATGTCGATCTGAAGAGTCATTTTCTCTTGTATTAAAGAATTTGGGAGCGTGGAATTTAAACTTGTAACTTTTCAAAACTTTAATTAGTTTGTATGCCATTTAAAACAACAAAAAAATTTACTAGATTGAATTTTTGTGTAACTTTTCAGCTCCAAGAGCCATGGAGAAATGCAAGAGCAGAGCCTAAAAATCCCAGCTTTGATCATGCTGCTGCTCCTTTTCTTAGTCTTACTGGACAGAGGCATGAACAGAAGCATAGATTCAACCAAAAGGAAACTGTTGATCTTTTGGATGTATCATGTGTATTTTTTTTTTTCCTTTTTGTTTTTGTTTGATGGTATATAGATATTAAGAAAAAACGAGAGAGATCTGTGGACCTTTGTAATAGACAAGAAACAATAAGCTTAACCCTATATTGTCTGGCTTGTTTATTAATGCTTATAATGAGCTGGTTTGTTTAATAATCAACCTTGGTTGTGATAGTTTTTTGTTGTGTGTTTTATTCCCTCTTTAATGCTACGCTTTCTTAATTCTTTTTTCATCTATAAAGATTCTTCATATCATGTACCTCTATTAAATTTTATGATATGATTGTTTTATTTTTTTTATTGAATTTATATTTTATTATATGGAGAAGGTCGAATGCATGAGAGGAGGGAACATGGCCATGTGCCTTGTTGATGGGAGGTTTGGTTGTGGGGGATTTTTTTAAGAAATGGGTTGGCATTTGTGATGAATGAATCTGGAGAGCAGCTGCGAGTAGGGTTTGTGTTTGTTCTAATAATTATCATTTAATTTTATGGGATCACCAAACATGTTTTTTTTTTAAATTTTCTTGGATCTGGCTTAGCCTCATCTTGTCCTGGCTTTTGAGGCAAATCATTATGGTCAATTGTCAATTTGGTCACTCTGTAATATACAGTTATGAATCATCATCATTGAAGGCAATAAAAACTCTCTTTATACAATAGTCACCATCTGGTGCAATATATGCTGTTAAAGGGGTGATTCTACATATGGAGAGAATTACAATCCACTTATACTTGTAAAAGTCTTACATAAATTATATGCATTGATTTGATCACAATCTGGCAGTTGAGATGATATTACTAAATATTGCATCATCATCTCAACTATTGGACTGTAAAATTAATGGTTGATAATTTATGTAAACTTATATGTATTTAAATAGACCTTGATTCATATATATAAATATTATTTTATAGGGCTGGGGTTTGGTCTTGTCATTGGGGTGAATTCTACATTTTAAAATATCAGCTAACATTTCAGTTTAAGGGTGAGTACAAAATGTGAAATGGCTACAAATAGAAAGTTAGTAGATGAGTTGCCTCAAGAACAAAAAGGGAGTTTACAGTGGCCCATTCTTCTGAACCAAGGAAGAATTGAGGCCCCATTACCTATTTTCAAAAAAAAAAAAAAAAAAGAGAAAGAATTGAGGCCAGAACCCAACTAGCCAGAATCCAGTAATAAGGCCCTAAGACAGCTAATTTTGCCTGGGCTCATGCCTGAAATTTGTTGGGATCTCATGTGTCTTTATTAAATTCCTTTCACTCGGATGAATTTTTTCTTTCCCAAATGCATTGGATTGAAGCAATTGCTGGTGAAGGTGATTGTAAAATGACTAAAAACATGTCAAGAATACAGTGTTGAGCATTCAACAAATGATTCTAGAAAAGATACTAGTATCAACAATTTTAATGTGAGTTTTGCCCAAAATAATAACAATTTTAATTTAACTTCCATTTTAGAGATGACAGATTCAGGTGATTTTTCATACAGTTTGAAGTCTTCATAAATAAAAAAAAACGATAGTACGTAGTAATGGCAATGCTCAAAATAGCAATTTTCAAGCATATGAATTTCACATTGGCATTGAGATTTGAGGCCATACCATGAACTTAATAAAAGTAATTCAGAATATAATAGAAGTATCTAGGTAGAACTTGAGAAAGTCAACTTACAACTGAATACTGATCAAGGAAGCCAGAGGTTGCAAAGTTCGTCCTAGAAGTGTCTGTCAAAACTTCCAAGTAGTAGTATTTGCAGTAGAATCAATTTCTGCATATGAATTTAAGCATATGTAAAATCAACAAACTTTAAAAGCAAATAAAAGTGATGAAGAAAAAGAAGGAAGAAAGAAAGAAAGAAAAAGAAATTTAGTCTGAAAAATATAAGAGCGTGAACCAAATGCAGTTGCATGTAGGTATTCTGCTACTTTTTAACTCTTCCAGTGAAAAGAAAACAGAAAAGTTCAGAGAAAGATTAATGTTGTATATGGTCACTAGTTGCTTTAGATAGCATATATAATAAGGTGAAATTTCTAAGTAGCTATGATATCCAGACTCCAGTTTTGGGGATTAAGTGCCAATTATAGGGCATGCAAGAGCAGCCACAATATATAATGATGCACTTTTTCAGAACTAGTACTCATCAACTATCTCAGAGCTTGAAACAGAAACCATGAAAGAAGATCATCAGGATACTATAATAACCCATACATTGGAAATAAGGTTTGAAGTACTTCCACGAGGAGCATGAGTTGCTCTACTATACTATGCTTGATCTTTTTCATCCCTTCTTGCAATCTGATCATGTGCCATGGGGAAATAGCTTGAGCTTGTTCTGAATTTATGATGCATATATACCTCCATGCCACATTCAACATCACCCTCCCAGCTTTTACAAAAGAGCATTAAGGCCTCAAAGGTCAATGCTAAACAGCTAATTGGATAGCATTATGTTATAGAGTCAAATGAAACTTTCCAGGACATCTATGAAGGCAGGACACAGCTATTGCTTGATAGGGGCAATGACAGGGATGGAGTGGATGCAGACTTTATGTGCTTTCTAAGACTGGTTAACTCAGGCAAGAGAAAATATGTTAGTGAGTTACTAATATTTATTGACCAAATTCAGAAACTGGACTACAGATCTCTCAACCAGTCTACAATGATTGCATAATGATAGGATTTCAATTTAACATGAGATCATTGGGTCCAATGCCAGTCTTCTCCATTTCTAATAAACGGCTAAAGAATGTCTTCCGCAAGGCAACACCTTTTTGTCTTGTCTGGACAAAAACTAAGCAAGCATTGCCTATTCTCCAATAAAATAAATACATATCAACAGGGCAACATCACAGCCAAGCTGATTTCTGAACCATTTTGACCCAAGTAGAGAAGAACATATCCTGCCAAATTTCTAATGCACACAGACCAGCACAAGCAAACAACATATTGATCATTGGGATCTCATCTTGTTCCATTAGCTTTGCTTCCATACCAGCATAAAAAGCATATGACCTCCTCAATCCTCCTCTAGATACTATTTTGCACATATTCAAGCTTGATGTCATTCCATGCTGCCAGATTCTTACATGAACTTTCATCAAAATATTTTAAACAACACTGCCTTCAAAGAGAACCAGGAATTCAGACTGAAATGCAACTTCTAACTTAAAAGTTGGATGGATTAATGAGCAAGCAGAGAGAAGACAAACCACGGTAGAATGCAGAGTTGGGTTCTACCTCATCAGCCAAAAGCAAGCATCTTGTTCGTCAAAACAAAAACAACATCTCTGCCAAATTACCTTCTTCAGCATATCCATTAATCATCTACAACCCGTAAGCCATATACTTCCAAAGCGGCATTTTATCAAACAACTCTGAGGCCTTCACAATCTCCCCCCATTGATCATACCCGTCAATCATAGAATTACAGGCTTAAGAGTACACATCAATCAAAGGATTTTTAAGAAAGATGTCACATTAAAACACCCAGTATAATAATATGGGCGTCAATTTCTTCGCCCTCCAAGTTCGATTCAAGCCCTGAGGAAAAATGCGCATGTGAAATTGCTGGGTGTAACAATTTTCTATCACCCTGTTGCATTTTCAGGGACAAGAGAGTGAATTTTGAGGAAACCCCTGTTTTGTGATTCAAAATTAAGTGACAATGATCGAAAAATTCGATGTCGAAAAGATAACTGAGGCATGAAGGAGTATTCGACTGAAGGAATGGCACGGAGCTGCGGATGAAGGAGGGTAGCTTTGACTTCGACGGTGAAGGGAGACTTTCCGCATCGTTTCTATTAATTATTGCAAGGTACAGGGACCTTATTAGCTTTAGGGAGGTTCCGCATTGCCATTGGTACAATAATATAATATATAAGTTTATAATTATAACCATAAATGAATAAACATATAGAAAATTATGAGTGGAGAATAAAAAAATAAGATTAAAGTTTATTTTTAACGATTTAAATAATTTAATGATAATCTTTTTTCACTGAAAGTAGGACATTTTAAATTCAAGTCGCACTATATGCGAGTGGAGTAAGATAAGGGATGAGAGATAATTATTTCCTATTGTACAACCAACATAAAAAAAAATTAAAGTTTTTTTATTTATCTCTTAAAAATAAAGAAAATCTCTTAAAAATAAAGAAAATAAATTTATTTTAAAATTATCTTATTTTAATAAAATATTATGAAAAAGTATTAAAAAGAGTCTTTTATGCTATTTTAGTTATTTTAAAAGAATAATTTATTAAAATAGTGTAAGTTTAAAATAATTTTACTTTTAACCTTTGAAAAATATGATAGATGAATAATTTTTTTTTTCTAAAAAATCAAATATACAATAATATATAATGATTACAAACTTGTAAGTTTTCTACTATGGGCTTAAAAGTATAGATTAAAAATATATTTTTATCATAAATATATAAATATATACATAAATTAATATAAATTTTAGTATTAGTGTTAAATAAATTAATTTAATTAAATATTTAATAAATTTAAAATTATTTTTTATTTGTTAATATAAATTTATAAAAAATATATATCACTAACCTATGCCTTATGTTGTACCTATGATTTTGATGATTACAAAACACATTTGAGTGACTAATTAGTTCATTTAAGTGTGTAGTTAAAATGTCAAAATATTGCAAAGTAAATAAACTTGGACTGCACTAAAAATAGACCAAAAGGCTTGAAAATGTGCAAAGAACCAGCTGTTGGAACCTACAGCCGACTGTGAAAGTGGAGAGAGCCGGCTTTGGAAGCTGCAACCAGCTCTATGGGTAAAAACTTAAAAGTCAGTTGTTTGGCGCGCGCAGAGAAAAGATGCAAAATCGGCTTCAACTTTGCATCCGGCTCTGAAGGTGCATTTAATGCACAACGGTTAAGTTATTTGAAAATTATTCAATGTGTTTAAAGTTGGAATCCTAAAGCTGGTTGTGTAAGAAAATAGAATGTGCATGAAACCCACAAAGCCGATTGCAAAATTTTTAAGCTAACTCTATGGAGAAAACAGAATGCAAGAAACTTGCAGAGCCGGTTGTGAAGAGTCGGCTCCAGAAAGGTAAGCCGACTATGATGAGAATTCTGCAATTCAAATTAAGCGACCTGCAAAATATTAAATGACCCCCAACGACTAGTAACAGCTATTTTCGACCATGGGGTTATAAATATGATTGGTAGAAGATCTGGAACAAGTTTAGAGAGTATTGCATTAAATATCTTTACCTACCTATATGAGTTTTAACTTGAGTTTTTGATCTTTGAGAGATCTTTACTTGTAATGCTCTTCTTGTTCTATTTGTCAGTGATATTGGGGGTGTGATTAATCCTTTAAAAGTGATCTATAGAAATGATTCTTGGGGTTTATTTTGTAAAGAGGTGAGATTTGAGAAAAACACCTTTTTCTTGTAAAAGAATTGAGTGACTCTTTTAAGCCACCCTTAATTTTGTTAGTAGAGAATATAGAGAAAATTCTTGGTGAGTGAAGTCAAGGTAGAGAATTAGGTTTTAAGTGATTGAACCGAATCTCTATAAAATTATTATGCAAACTCTTCTTCCCTACTCTCTCTTTGATTTTTGTTTGGTAGTTGCAAAGAGGTGAAAATTTTTCAACTTCAGTTCACCCCCATCTTGGAGTACATTGAATCAACGCCTTACAAGTTACGAATACCCTAAACTTATAAAGTTGTAATACCACTAGATTCATAGTTATTTACTGCGCCGGTATAAAATTACAAATATCAAAATTTATAAGTATTATTACTCCTAAATTATGCATTGATTTTGGAGGGTCCTTGAGGAGTATGTAACTCTTAACATATGCTAGCACGTATGCACACGATTAGCAGACATACAGATCTTTCAACATTGGCTGCCTTTGATTTGGTGAGCTTGAGCCAGTTGTGATGACTTATAAAATAATACTAATCCTACTACTTTTTGTTGTTGATTCACGGCAGGTTTTCATAAATTTTTTTTAAAAAAAGAAACAAAGCAGTTAGATGACTAAATATATATATATATTTTTTTGAACATAGGATGACTAAATTCTTGATCTCAAGAACAACTAAGGAAGTAATTATCAAGAAAGGTATCTTCATCCTCTTCATTTAGATGAAAACAAGATTATAGACAATAATGACTATCAGCTCACATATGGATTATTAGTTGTCAATTAAGTATATCTAAAAAATGTTTTATTTCTATAAAAAAAATAAAATAAGATGTTTTATTGACTTATAAAAATCTGGTTAAGTTGATATTTATTAATTAAAAAATTTTAATTTTGAGTCAAAATTAAAAGTTTGAGTGACTGGAATGTTAAAGAATTGATTTTTGGGTGGTGTTATAGGGATAACATTTTTATATAACTTTCACATGTCATTAAATAAGTAGATGCCTTTAATATCATAGATCCCATATGAAAAAAAATCAATCATTTAAATGATACATTAGATTGTATCAAATAATGATACAAAAATATTGTTCCAAAATCATTTCGCTTTTACATTATGTTTGGTTTGAAAAGGGAGGGGCAAAAGGTAAGGAAAGGAATAATTTTTTAATTAATTAAATTATAATATTTAAAAAA